TTAAACCTGTTCATGCATGAACAAAATGCCTTGATGTATTTGCTGAAAGTACCGTTGAACCTCATCCATAACTATGGAAAATCCCCAAGTCCAGAACCTCTCTACCTAGATTTTTGGTACTTTCCTGTTATCTCAGTATCTCCTTTTCTGTTATCTCTGTACCTTCCCTCTGACCAATTTAACCTGACCTAACCTTCTCCAACTCAAATGCTTTTCCTCTCAAATCTCCATAAATCCAGTTTTCTGAGGCCTATTGGCTATTATTTTCTTGACACAAGAAAGAGAAAAGCAATAAAAATGTAAATTGATGTGTTTTGAAAAAAAGACTTATCAGGCAAACAAACCCCTTCCTCCAAGATCAGCATCCTGTCAACTCATTGAATCCTTGGGCAGCACTGCTGGGATTTTTTTTCACATTTATGTGTCACACACAAAAGAAAAATATGAAATTCCTAGCATAAGCTGAAGAGTCAAAGTTGGGACAAATGTCAATTTTTTCAACATTTCTGCAGAAATATCTTCATTTAAAAATCATCAGTTGGGCGGCCTTTTCTGCATTCCTGCTGTAGGATTACTATTGAGGGATTATGAGATCAATGGGTTTACCTTCATGGGATTTTTCCACATTTTGGCTACTCAGCCAAATCTGCATTTTGGTGACCTTTAGTCAAACTAAAATTACAGAAGCCTGCAAAAATTTCCTGGCAAAATGGCATAATGGAAAATGACCTGCCACTGTCCAAGGTTTAAGAAGCAATCTAAGGCCCAGAATATCACCATTTACAATTTCCTGCAATTTCTCTATGTTTCCCACCACAAAAATGCTCTTTTCTACAACTAAAAGCCTCTCATTTAATTGAAAAAGTCAAAACCTCCCAAAGACAAAATTTTTGCTTGTCCCTATAGAAATTTGACTTGGATAGGTTTGACTGAAAATTTTTTACGAGTATTATATTCCATCAAAATCCTACACCTTCATTTGTTGAAGAGGAAACCACAACTATGAATTTTTTCAAGTCAATAATGCCTGCTGGGAATTGTTTCCTTTGTTTTTCTACGAGTAACCGGTCCGTCATGTGCAACGATTATTAGCTACTGGTGTCCCTACCTTCCTCACCAAAAGAATGGTCCGTCACTTAGTTTCTCGAAAACGGAGAAAAAAGGGGGGCTAATGGCCAAGCTATTCTTCATTGAAGACTCCGAGAGAGAGGATAAAACCCTTGCCGATCATGTTTCACCATCATGCAGTTCTTTGTCATTGGAGCGGAAACTCGGCGATAGTGCTCAAGATGATATCTCTCTATTTTTTGGTTTCAGTGTGTTTACTTTGGATTTCATCTTTTGTACGTACATCAATTCAATACATAAGTCGGATCCATTTTTTAGGAATACTTCCAGCGTATATATTTGTTTGATCTGGCCACGCAACAATAGCAACGAAGCTTGACTATTCGATTCAAATCATTCGCTCATTTTACGACGAAAGAAGATTAGGATTGCAATTAAACCCGTTTCTGTTATTGCGGCAAGATCATTGTCTGCTATGGTATTTATTTGTTGTTGTTGTTGAACAATTTGTGGCCATCATCTGTGATCTACCAGCAGTTTTCCACTAATCCATAGGTAAAAATTGATAACTTTTATCAACTTTTTACTTTTGCCCCGCGATAAATGCTTCGAATTTATTACTTTTTGAATAATGAACACAGCTTAGTGGAAAAAAAGCAGCAGCCCACTTGAACTGAGAAATGTTCATACGTTCAAATCGCTCATTCGTGATTTTTCTTATTTTGAAAATGCGCTGAAATTATTCTTCAACACTCTGATGTTTGCATTGAATATTTAGGTGAAAATCATCCATGTCTCGCTCACGTTACACAATTAAACTATGTTAACGTCCAAAAAAGGAACATCATGAATAATCCGTGGCCTGGAAATGAAGAGAAAATCTAATTTAAAATCTTAGAGTCTTGTGGACAATTACGAAACAGGCTATCTTTCAATCGACGCTTTTTTCCTTAGACTTTTGATATACTTTGTGGATCTGCTTGAAAAGCATGATTTAGAACAGATGAGTTACAATAAAAACCCCAGGAATAAAATTTTACGGTACTATTTATTTTATGAATAAGATTTGATTTGGATTCCGAAAAATGTCTTAATTCCGTGCAAATATAAATATTCTCCCAAAAGTCAGCGAAGCCATGCTAAACATACATTGCTTGGGAAAATATTTCAGTGCTTCCGGATATTTTTTTTAAATTCATCATCTTTTTTTCAGATTGACAAAGAGTGGAAAAATAATTCAATGACTGCATCTAAGGTGACTGCATAAAGGTAAAAAAGACTTTTTTATTTTTTTTACCTTTATGATATAAAGAAAATAATTACTGACAAAAATCCGTTGTTGCACAGTTTTCATCATAATACTTGATAATGATCAATACAGATGGAAAAACAAGCTATTGAATCGTAAAATCACGCGCAAAAATCGATTTAGGGTGATTTATCCATCAATTCTATTATAATTTCTGAATTGTTCTTCGCAATTTTTGAGAACAAAATCACTGGACCGAAAAGGGACTGTTTGAAATTAATGGTTTGGAAACTGCTGTCGTAAAACTTGATTTGTAACATTTTTCGAAATAGATAATTATTTTTATTTCGAGAAACTGTTAATCAATTTGCGTTAATTCGTCCATCTGCTTCGAAGTAATTTTTTCAGCTTGAAAATGTTCTGATTTTATTACACCCAAAAAAGTTGGATCTTGAGGAATGTAAGATCCAACGCCTGAAAAATTACACAAATGCTTAAGGGTACATCCAAGAAAAAAAACTTCTTTGTAACAACGCCTTTTGTCTTTGTCCCGGGAAGTTCCTTGTAGCAAAGTAATGAATGATTTTAAAATGATAACCCGATTTGATCTGACCGTCTGGGATACAAAACGTGATTTCGAGGAGCCTTCCTCGTTCAAAATGACTCAAAATTGCCAGAGGGAAGGGTTCGCGGAATCAGTGATTCCCAACTACTGTAGGCCTCTGGGGATCGTAAATCCCGCAATAATGACACCCGCATCGAATTATTCCTAATGATCTGGGCAATAAGAAAAGGGTCACATTTTTTTTTGTATCCCACGCTTCGAGTGGCAATCATATTCAAGTTCAACGGCATCTCCAAAGTTATTTTAGTGCAGCCATCGCCCAAAAAAAAAACTCTCCTTCAAACGAATCATGCTCACATTTATCTCCCTGGGGGCACGTGTATAATTATTGCTGAGGATGTTATTGAAGCCCGATGGAATACAATCGAAATTACCGCTGCGATAAATCCCCGAGGAAAAGAGATTCTGTTGGTCAGGGTTTTAGGGATATGCAAATGATCCTCAGACAGGTCCCCGTTCGGAGACCGTATGTCTCCTTTTTCGTTGTTGTGTTGCGTGTGTTAGTTGCAACAGCTCATTAAAAAATCCGCTTCTGCGGGTTAAAATAGAGAACGGTGATGAAATTGCATCTTCTTCGTTATATCCCTCAGCTTCAACCACTTACATTCTGCACTTGGCATTCAAACAAAGTCAGTGGTATTAATCACTCAGTAATTATTTTTTCTCATCACGAGTTAACAATCCTTTTTCCCCCAGTCGAGTATAATATGAGGACCATCGAAACATGTGGAATTCTTTCCGATTTTCTCGCGTGAGATAAGTTAAACTGCATTCAAATATGAAATTTGTAATTTCCCAGCCAAAGAGTTTTAGATCTGAGATTTTAACCTTTCATTTTTTATAATTTCAAAACATTTCTAGACTTTGAAGATTTTCTGTTAAAATTTGGTGAAAAAAAGCGCAGACACTTTCATAGTAAAGCTTTTTTCTTTTTTTTACCTTTATGCAGTCATTGCATTTTTTCTACATTTCCTTCAGTATTTCCTTTATATCAGCAAATGTAATTAAAAAAACTATTCAAACAGTTTTTCTTTCGAACGTTATGCACTTCTCCCCAAACATTTTAAATCGGATATTTGTATACCTCATTTGAATTAAACTGTAGGAGGCTTGTTTTCGATATTTATTTTTCGGCATGCCTCAGTGTACATCTGAAACTTGTAAAAAAAAAGATTTGGCAAAAATAACATGTAAGATATTCCAGTGCGCAACATTTTCCGAGGATCCTCAAAACTCTCTATATAGACATCTTTTGAATGATGTTTTGCAATTATCCTAAAGGGGTTTGGAACCACCTGAAGGAAGATGCTTCTACTTTAATTTACGTCCCCTGCACTTTTCATCTGATACAGTACTTTCATTTATTGACACATTTTCTCCATGCGGGAGAAAATTACTTTGAATTAAACTGTAAGAGGTTTGTTTTCGCTATTTATTTTTTTGGCATGACTCAGTGCACATCTGAAACTTGTAAAAAAACGATTTGGCAAAGATAACATGTAAGATATTCCTGTGCGCAACATTTTGCGAGGATCCTCAAAACTGTCTATTTAGGCATCTTTTGAATGATGTTTTGCAATTATCCTAAAGAGCTGGTTGAAACCACCTAAAGTAATATGCTTCTACTTTAATTTAAGTCCCTTGCACTTAAGGATACTTTCATTTATTGACAAACTACTTTTCTCCATGCGGGAGAAAATTACTTCATATTCATCAAGAATTTCCTGAAAACTATCAGTCGGCTGTCAATAGTTTCCAAAAGGTTTTCGGTGATCGATCCGTAAAACTTTATAAACCCCTCACATGGAATTATTTGAAGGTACTTGATAGCAATTAAAAATATTCTGTATAGTGCATATTTATGTTTCCAGAATAATAAAAACGGCGCTAATATAAATAATGAACCCGGAGATAATCGATGAGGAATGTACAGTACTTTTTTATTTAAATTCAAAGAATAAATAATGCTAATGGTGACAGACAGTGAGTTTAAAATATCGTGAAGGTTTCTTACAGCGGTTTCATAAGATGGCTGTAAATGCGATCGTAAATTAATTTCCCATGTGAACACGTAACGCAACAATCACTGTAATTATATACTGGTAAACTCGCCAAAATTTATCGCTGAGCGAAATTTTCAATATTTTGTCGGAACACGAGCTGATCTTGTCCTCATTGTTTTTCGTTTGAAAAAAAAAAAGAAACTTCAGCTATGAAACCACTCAATCAGGAAAATTCCTCGCATTCGACCCTGTCGGATGCGCCCATCCACGAGCATCTCGAATTTCCGGTAACTAGTTATTATTTTTTTCAACGATTCTGAATTTTACCGAATCCTGGAAATGAAAACAATAATTTTATTTATTTTTTGTGGATGTATGCATATGTGAAGAGACACGTGAGATTTTCGGATTTGGTGAGGGTTCAACAACACACCAACGAAGAGACTTCGTCCATGTTGGTTGACAGGTGCGAGTTTTGCGATGAACCGGTTTCACCAGGAAGACGCATCACTAGCCTCAACAGCGATACCCCAACGCTTTGCAATTCTTGTCACGAGAATGTCGCCAATTTGATTCGCAGGAAGTTGAAAAACTCTAGCTTTGAACTGAATAGTTGCAAAGATTGCAGGTAATTTCTTGGTACTTTCCGGATATCTCTGTACCTACTTTCCTGTTATCTCTGTACCTTTGCTCTGACCAATTTAACCTGACCTAACCTAACTTCACCTAACCCCCTCCCAAAATCAATTTCTGCTTTCTTTGGGTTTCTGCTGAAACTGATTTTTGGAGGCTGTTGGTAAAGTTAGGTTAGGACAGGTTATGTTAATTAAAAGATATTTGTAGCAGAATGCGGAAAAATTAAATTCACAGTTTCTGGTAGGTTGTTGTGATAATGAACTTGTCCTAAAGATTTGTCTGGATGGTAGTGCTACGGTCTAGGAATGAGGTATACAGAGATAACAGGAAAGTACCAATTTCTTATCTTTTTTTCTTTAAACTTATTATTTTGTGGGAATGAGAACCATCACTCATTCCTTGTTGCAAAATGTTCCTGGGACAAGGGATGGTTACTCTGATGAGATAAAATCATAGATGTTGCTGCTGTACTAGCAATCAGCTGACCAGAAAAGAAATCGAAGGAACTTCTATCGGACTAGAGAACCAAGCTTGACTCAACCCAACTAATTTAGCTTATAATACTGAATACTAAACTTTTCCAACCTGATTAAATGACAAGTGCCTTATTACAAAAAATGTTCACTTCCAAGTATTTCAAGAAGCATAAAAGCAATTAAAACACATATAAAAAGCAAAGAAAACAATGCTGGAACTTTGCAAGAATCAAAGAAGTTTCCATCAAATATCAACACAAAACAAATATGCCGAATTTTCAAAACTGCATCATGGGAGTTGAATTCCTCATATCAACTTTATTCAGAGAAGTTTCTTAGAAATAATAAGTTTTGCGTATTATTTCATCTGAAGCAGAGAATTCCAAACAAAAACTGTGACATTGATTGTGATGCTTATGAAATGTGGAAAGTATTTGATACAATTCAACAACTGCAAACTGAAGTACTATTGTACAGTATTTACATGGGTGCCAAGTATTTTTGCCAGAATTTTTGCACAGAAAAATCTGTTGATGCAAAGAAAATACATCTAACATATACCTAACACCTAATATTAACAAAATTAAAGTAAATTTGATCGCCTAACTCTTCATAGGAACGTAACCCGGAATGAAAATGAAAATCCTTGATATTCGGGTGACATCTACCAAAGAAAGATGCTAGATTCAGGCAACATGGACGAGGTTATGTTGTCAGAAACTGAAGTACTGCTTTTATTTTCGGAATAACCGCAGAAAGCAACACTGACTTTGCCAATTACTGTATCTCTACACTTATGCAGGACAAGTTTTGGCAACGCAGTCGAAGAGCTAGAAACGTTGGCTTATGGAGATACACGTGGAGCATGGGACAAAAGAAAAAACCCAGCATCAAATAATGAGGAACACGTTTGTCAAACAGAGCATTTGGTTCAAAATCTACTGAACTCCTCTGCAGTTTCCCAGGGATGTGAAACACCCGAAGACACGACATTGAGTTCACGATTCATGAGCACCACAAGTTTTGGGAATTCCGATCAGCAGCAGCAGTCACAAGCATCCAAGCCCTGCGATGTGTGCAAATTATTGCGCACCTATGGAATGGCGATGCGAGCAATTGACAATCCTAATCAGATGACAAGAACACCATGCAGGTCTCACACGATGATTCCTTTCGGTTTTGATGAAGGTGGTACCTCGTGTCTTGAGAATTGGATGAACCAATTAAGGCTTGATGAGTGAGTATTTTCATTGTGAAAATTTGAAACTTTATATTTTTGTGTTGTTCATTATATTCTGACTTTTATGGATGAGAAGAACGCAATCTTGTAAACGGCATGACAGCATGTAACAGAATACCATGTTTCTTTCATAAGAATATAATGAAAAATGTTTCTACATCAAAAATACAATAATGAGATGGTTTTTCAAAAATGGAAGCCATATTATTCCTGGAGAATAAAGATCATAAAATTCTTTAAAATGAGACATATATTCAGTTCTTAAAAAATGAGAGTTTAGTGTCACTATAGTTGTCCTGGAACATCTTGTGGCATGTTAAGCAAGGTTGGTTTAAATTTAGCGAATTGTATGAGAAATATTTCTAGTTAAGCGTTTCTCTTATATGGGAAAAAGTTAGTTTACTGAATTTTTAGTCCATTGGAGTGTTTTATAAGAGAAAAAGCCATAGTAAAGGATCTGAAGTTCAAAGATACTGTACTTATTTCATAATTTATTTCAAAATACTTGTATATATGTATCAAGGCAGAATTGTTTTCAAGACTCTGTCCATTTATTGAAATGTCTGGATGTCAAAGCTAATTTTCTCATAGACTTCATTGGGAAAAATTTTAATTGTATCCCACATTGTCAACTAAATTAACATATTATTTAATTTATTGTAGCTCAGATGTCATGGAATTTTCTATGTTTCCAAAAATGTTAAACTGTCATCATGGTGTCCATATGTTAGTGTCCTTTATTATATTTGGTTCTTCAATAACAAAATTTATAGGATTATTTGAGAATATATGCTCAATTTTCAGACAACGTTTTACTGCCCCCAAAACAGTTTAAGGATAGTATTCAATTCACCAAAATTATGCAAAACCAAAACACCAAGGTTCGTTTTTTATTTCCCTTGAATATGGGATAAAATGTTCAAAGTTCCATGCACCGTACATGACTAAATATATGAAAGATAGGTAACTCATCATAAGCTAGCAAAATTATATATTGCCAATGATGGCGCACAATTAATTGTTTTTCCTCAGGCGTGATGGAGATCGATTGACAATTAAAATAAAAAGATTTGAAATTTATGAGAATATTATTGAAACCAAGTAAACTATTTAATTTTTAACGTATGCATTTTCCAAAAGCATCCAACAAAACGCATCAGTCTTGACTTTTGCTTACAGCATTATATTCCACTTACAATTGGGGTCATGATGGAATAAGTTTCGCTGATATATAGGGCGCCAACGAGTGCATTTGAACTGCGTGAACCCTCGATTCTAAAGCGTTTGTCTCTATATATGATGCATATACACGCCAAGATTCAGAAAGCGGGTGTTGCATGGTGAATATTCGGATTGAAACGAGTATTATAGGAAGGCTATTTATCACAGAGAAGTGAATATTCATTCACTAAGGTGTGCTGCTCAACAGAATCGCTGAGAGATGAGTGTGCTATCGGATGCGGTCTTGTGTTCCGTTTGACTTGGAATTATTGCTGTTTCATGGCTGATGCAAGCGGGAGAGCACAGAGAGTGATCAATTATACAATATATGAGGCATTCAAATAAATTTTTGTTTTGAGACTGTGGCGCACAGGCCACAAAGACGGAATATTGTAAATAAAGAACACTAAAAGATGACAAATAAAACTCGGAATCCGCTGGGGACACGGCAGGGAGCCTTCAACAAGGTCTCCAAAAGGAAAACGGAAATCGTATATTTTGAATTTGCACAGAGTCAGAACAACAAGATGTTTACGCTTTGCAAGGTAAAAGCAGACTGTAATGATAATTGGTATTAGGAAAATGGGGACGATTGGAATTCCAGCATGGATTTCCAACGTGAAGTTTTTCCGCGGGGCAGCAGTTGGGGGAGGTGGTTGGCGCCACCTATCCCTTATACTTACAGAGACACCCCTGTTTCCTGCTGTAGCTCATCCTCATGCCATGGGATCCTATGCTGTACAGTCTAACCATTCTAAGTCAGATTTCAAGGGACCAACAAAAATTTTTATTTCGGAGGTTTTGACTTGGGGAGGTTTTGATTTATTGAGGTTTGATCTACAATATATGCAAAACCCTTTTTCTGGGAAACTTGGAAAAATTGCCCAAAATTGTAAATGGTGATATTCTGATGCTTAGATGGCTTCTTAAATGAGTTGAAAGAATGCTGAACTTGGAGGCAGGGGTTCATTTGCACAATAAAATCTTTCACTGCCTTTAAAACACATCAATTTCTGTTTTTATTGCTTCTTGGATGAATGAACAGAATACTTTATTTGCCGCTTTTCAGCGTTCACAAGGTTCAATCAAGATTTCCACAAACAAACCCCCTTCCCACCAAACCCAAATCCACTCAATGACATTTTAATCACTTCATAGCGGGAAAGCACAAATTGAGAACAGAAATAAAAGAAAATACAATACAACATAAAACTTCTTTGCTTCTTTCTATCTTGGGTCAAGAAAATAATGACCAACAGGCCACAGAAAATTTGAGTCATGGAGGTTTGAGCAAAAAGCCTTATTTGACTTAGGAAAGGTTAAAATTCTATAAAACACACAAAAATCAAAGTCCAACTAAAAAGGGTATAATGCAAGGTATTGCTGAATTCTTCTGTCATTTGAATTGAACATTTGAGTCAATGTGGGGGGGGGGCTATTTTTTAAAATTTTTATCAAACGTGTTTATTAATCAAGAAAAGGGACTAACATTTTTGGGCAATGGTTCCCGCCTGTGGTACTATAACAACAGGTTACCATTAAATATATATATTACATGTCATGAAGAATTGATGTGTTTTTTTTATTATTTTTGCAAAAATTGCTGTTTGCTGTATTATATAACTAATTTTAAATTTTTTTTTAGCTGGATATGTTGCCCGTGACTTTTGATTTTACGTTCAGAGCAGGAATAAATGCCCATACTGGACGAGAGGAAGAGTCGAGATTGATTTGCGGAATGTGCAACGGAGTGCCGAAAAGCGGTGGGCAATTATTTGCAGAAGGCAACCATTACCGACCACATCAGCTCCATCCTCATCTGATGTCTGGACAACAGAGAGTCGATTTGGCATCAACGTTGATGGAGAATGCAATTAATACTTCACAGGTTCATCCCGAAGACAAAGAGTGGCTCCGAATAAGGAACCATCAGCAGCAGCGACCTGATGGTTAGTTATAGTTTTGCAAGAATAATTTATTATTAAATTTTCATGTTTGACGAAAACAATATCGAGTAAAGTTTCGCAGAAAACTGAATATTTTTTCCTTTATTTTTACGGTTTTTTCGAAACTATGGGATCGATGTGTCTTTGTTATTGTTGTACACTGCTGGTAAAATTTTTACCGAGCGAAAAAATTAATTTATTTAATTTTTATACGAAGCAATTTTGCATAAATAAAGCCAATTCTTGTGTGATGATAACATGAGAGAATGTGTCCTGGGATTGTAATTCAATTTTTCAAACGACACTCTTGTGAAATTTGGGGATGAGCGTCCACCTGTAAATTGCTATCCAATAATGAGATTTGTTACAGTAGAAAGATATTGTCAATACTTTAGTTTGTTGATGTTATTGGTATTGAATACTTTAATTGACCGAGCCGAAATTGTAGACGTTTGACATCGATTTGACGATTTCATTTATTCTGTCCTCTATATAGCTGCTTTTTTTATAATACAATTGCTCATTAAATTTTTCCACACGGTTCCCCATTTTTTTTGCCAAAGTTTTTCTATCATACTAACTGAGTAACCAGGTTTTAAAATTAGAAAATGTTCAGAAGTCTTCAGAAAAATTTAGTTTAAAGTCATCGTATAAAATAACACCACGAAAATGATTGTTGAGCTAAATATGAGACGAACTTTCTCCGCAAATATTTCTCGCCTTTTCTGCTGATGTCCTGCTTTGAATTTCCATTTTATGAAATTAACTCAGCAGGATTTCTGAAACGTTTACTGAGTATATCCCGATAGCTTTTACGGTAAATACTCGGATAACTTTTGAAAATCCCTTCACAATCGTGATTATATAGGAAGGATTTCTGAGGAATTTCTTGCTATGGTCAAGTGAATTTCTGGTAAATTGATCCTTCTCTCTTGGCTGTGCAAGCTGCAAATCATTAAATTAAGCCATACATCTTGTCTGCGTGCATTTTACTCTGGAGAGGAATCCTGACATCAAATTTTACAGTTAATCCTCCGCCCTGCAGCAGTTTTTCTTTCCTTTTCCTAAAGCCTCCCTTTATTTCCTTATTGTCACTGCATATATATATATCTACATCATTTCCGAGGATTGTACAGGTATAGGTATAAAGGAGACGTGGCCTGCGAGAAAGAAGCTGTAAGTTGGCCGTGTTTCGCTGAATAAATTTCAGGTAGTGTTGGTTGGCCGATCTCTGACAGCAGCATCATGGAGCCTTCCGTTTGCAAATCTTGCCGAATCGAGAGTGGCTACGATAATTGCGACCCGGTGTCACGTTCTTCTGGCGAGTGTTTGTGTCCTCACTGTCGATATTATGAAGCATCGCCGACGTCGACGAGCCTGGGAAATAATCCTTTAACGACGTGTAATATTAGAGACAATCTTTCCATCTGCGCGGGTTGCAGCCAGCTTCTGGAATCTAATACGAGTAAGTCAATTATTATTATTTTTTGAATGATTTCAGTTTGCGATAATAACTGAGGCTTTTTGTTTTCATCAGTGGACTCCGTCACGAGGCTTCAAACGACTTCGAGACAATTGCCTTGCTGTCACGTAGTGCGCCGTATGTATTTTGAGATTTATTTTCTTTTAGTATACTGTATATGTACAGTACAACATTTTGGGAAATCAACAATCTTCAAACTCTTTTGGAAACTGGAAAATGCTTTCATGATATTATCTCACCCATTATCATTTTCATGCACGATAAAATATAACTGCTAAAAGTTCTGGCTCTGTTTGTATGCGTAATTTTTTTTTTAACCCCAAAAAGTTTAAAACCAGCATGGGTCTTAGTACAGTATCACAAGCATATTTATGAACCGAGGATTGGCAATAATAGTCCGGAACTTGACAGCCTCTTCATTTTTTAAAATTACGAAGGTAATTCTTGATTTGATTGAATTAGTTTAGAATTTTCAGCAGAATTTTGTTTTCAGAAGCATAAATTCGGAGGCATGTTATTAAGGTGAAGCTTAGTTGTAGGCACGTACATGATGCATTTAAAACGCATGTCAAGCTTTATTCTTAGGTAAATGTGATAGCAACAAAATTCTGTCATAAAAAAAAATCTTGTTACATAATGTGTGACTTGGAGGATGGAAAATGAAAGTGAACTTTTGTACCAACCCCTTGCATTTATTGATGCCAGATATCCATTTATTTTCTTGAGGCATTTGCTGAAAGCAGTGAAATTAATCCCTACATGCGGGAAATTGATATATGTTGTAAAATATCAAATACTTATGCAGAAGTACAAATATGTATAACTTAAGCCAAGTGGGGAGCTATTCTTTGTGTGACTGCACAAATGGTGCACACTGGGGTCACAATTGGTGTACTTGGGCTATTCTGGGGTAAAAAGCATGCCCCTCTGTAGATAACATTTTGCTACCATTCCTGGGCTACATTTGGTGCACAAATATGACATAACAGGATTATCACACAAACGGGCCAACTGTAACCTTGGTGTAACTTATTTGGTTACAAATGTGACCCTGAGTAATCCTTGTGTGAACACACAAGTGGTGCACATTAGGGATATGCATGTGCAACAGGAGAACTTTGGTACACTTCAGGTGCACAGCAGGGTCACTGTAGAATTACAAAACATATCCCCAGTGTGCACCAATTTCCCCACTCTGGTTATAATTCTTCTGAATAATTGTTTTTGCAGCATAGAATCTTCATAATATATACAAATTTTAATTCTTCCAAAATAGTTTTAATTGGCAGTAGAGAATCTTTACTATATGGGTGCTGGTACCCTGCAATTTGACCCTAATCTATTGCTGGATTAGGGTCTAATTGAAAAATGGTCAAATTGCAAGACACTGTAAAATCAAGGGCAAGCAGTACAAAAACACTAGAAAAGAGGCTGAAGCTGGTTGGATTTTGGGAGAAAGGTCAAATTCCAAGTCAACCTCCAAGCAAATTTAACCATTGAATTGCAGGATGGTTGAATTTCAAGATACCTTCTGTATATGGAATTTTTAATTCTTCTTAGACCAAGTATTTTCAATTACTTTAAAATATACAGAATTTATAATTATTCTGAAATATTTTTAATTGGCAGAATGGAATCTTTACAATATACAGAATTAATAATTCAACACCCTATAAAAGCTAACCGTCAAATATTTGAAATTTAATATGTCTTAAATATTAAGACTTTGTAAAAAGTTACCGTCATATATCTTAGAATTTTAACTTGGAACAGTAGTATTTTTATGTAGAAGACATTAAGTAATTCGACGTGCTTGACGTTTTTCTCCTGTGCTTGCAGCTGAGTCACATGTTTTATACGAAAAGTTCTTCAGGAAGAAATACCTGTTTGTGACGGCTTTCATGATGTTGCACAAAACGCATGCAGCATAAAGAATTAAATGTGTGGTTGGCTGGATACAAGATGTGTTGCTTTCTATTGCTATATACAGATGACGTGATCCCCATGGAAGATCCTCTGGCAACATGCGTCGGATGCACAGACGTCAATCAGCAAACTGTGAACTCAAAAGTATCACATGCAGGCCACAGTAATGAGGAAATTCCTGAAATCCCTCTCCCTGATGATCAGGGGCTCCTTGACCCTCTGATGGACAAGCTGGAACATCAAGACAATCTCATCACTGTACCCGAACCTGAGGTCAGCAAAAAAAGTTTGCAACAAATGGGAAGTGTTGTCCCACCTATAAGCCAACAAGAAGAGGCCAAAATATTTGAGCACTTGGACAAAATGGAGAGCAGCATTTTGAATGTTGATGAGAACCAGCAGAAATCTAAGCCTGCTGTGAACAAAAGTGAAAGTGCAAACAAAGTCACTGGAACACTGTCTTGCATGTGTCACAATGCCCATGAAATGGAAATTGCTCAGCATAACCACTATCACAGTCACGACCACACAGCTTTGGCTGAACCCATGCCTGATCTCGAGGAACCTGCTGAAATTCCTATCAGCAAGCAAGAAGAGCAGAAACCTCAGCCACGTGTGTCCACAGCTTCCCCAGAGACCCTACTGGTGCCAAAAATTTCTGAAATTCCTCCAGACAATGGAAAGTCTTACATTGTCCAGTCAATGGGAGAGAAACAAGACAGGTTTTGGGTCGTCGGTTACCCTCTCTTTGTCGTCCACAGGTTTAGGGTTGACGTCGTCCGAAGCGTCTTCTTTGACGACGGAAGTTTATGTTTGTAATAAAGGTTCTGACTTTCACAGAGTTGACTTCTTAAACCATCATCACGCGTCCTTTCCAACACCTCATTCCACACTGTGTCCCAACACATGACTCCCCCAGACCAACAGCCAACACTGGAACCCAATAATAAGTCAAAGAGCGCAGTTGTGACCCAAGTCTCCAAGATGGAGGCTACCAGTCAAAAAGGCCCATCAACCACAGGAACCCCAATGCTTGCAGGGTCCGCTTCTAAAAATATCCCACCGCAAGTGAGCTTCTCCAAAGATGACCCCAAGCTATCAGGAATGAGCCAGGCTAAATCTGGAGCTGCGATCGAAATCCCCAGTAAACAACTCAGCTTTGGAAAACTAGATAAGGCAGCGGAAAACCTAACACGACCCCGTGTTCTTGGGGACTAGTTAGAAGGTAGTCTGTAGCTTCTGTCAAAATGGGTGCGTTACCCGGACCCGAGGTTTCTAAAAGTCGTCGGCCTTAGCGGGTTCTTTCACTCGGTTTGGTTAACTAAACTGTCCAACATGGTGCCGATTAACCTGAGTTCGAGTGACATTTTTGCTGGAACTGAATTGCCGGAAAACCTGTCCGATATTGACTTACCCAAGGGCGATCCAGTGATTCCTGATGAGATAAACTTTGAAAGTATGGCTGATGAGTGCAACGAGATGACGGGACTGCCTGACAAAAAGGTGTCATCGTCTGGCGGGAGAGGGAAACAAACGAGCAAGACTAACATTGCGTCTCCGAGAGCCTGCCCATCCAAATTAAAAGTGGAGATCAATTCGAACGTAAAGTACCAGGCAAAGTCTATCCAGAAATCCCTCAGATTTGAATTGGATACAGCAAATAAGCCCGAGAGCAGCAGCAGGAATCCATCGAGGAAAAATTCTTGCTTGTCCCCAAGTGATTCAAGCCATTCGAAAAAATGTAAGAATCCATCGAGGAGAACTTCCGGCTTGTCCCCACCAAGTGATTCAAGCCGTTCGAAAAATGAGAGGACTCCGTCGAGGAAGAATTCCGGCTTGCCCCCACCAAGTGATTCAAGCCGATCAAAGAATGACAGTAGTAAAACAAGGACTTCAACAACTGGGCAACTTTTGGGCACGTCAACATTAGGTGACACAAGCAGTCCAAAAATGACGTCAACACTGCCTTCAAGACGTTATTGAGGTAGATGACTCGTCGTTAACTGAGGTTGAAAACTGGTCCCCGTTTGCGGGTGCTGTTCAGTTTCGATGAGTTGTCTACAGTGGAACCTCTCGAATGTTTTTGTTGACGTCCTTGATGCTCGTATGCAAGGCAATAAATCCGAAGAATATCAGCCCGAACCGTTGGTTAAGACCGGAGAAGAGTCTCGGGCAGCACTGGAAGCCCAAGCACATGTCAGACAAGCCCAACTCACGGGAAAAGCCAACCAACAACAGCCAATCGCAATGTCTTGTCAATGTTCTAATCCAGCGTGCTGCCTTAAAATGATAAAAAGCCAAGCCTCTTTGCCTAAGGTAGGAGCATCGACATACGTTGCATCTGTGGAGCCTGATCGCTCCGAATGCATGATTATGACGAGAGATCGTGGAGCGACACCTGTGCAGTACAACAGCAGGCAGTCACATGTTCCAACAGTCATCCCGCCAGCTTCATCTCACCATGTCCGTGAGATTATGACTATGAAGGCATCTAACACTTCCCAGCAGCGGAGTAGAGAAAATAGTTTTTTCAAGTTGGTGAGTCTTCAATGCAGTTTACAGAAGATTCTGTACAGGCCACGAATAATCATCTGTAAGCAAAGCTATTTAGCCGTGGCAATAAATAAGCACTGCTGTTCGTCATGGGCAAGTCCCTATCGAGTAACTTCGCGATGTTTCTGCTAGGGCCTTCATTTGTACAGTATAATTCGTTCAACAGTAATCGGTGAACCACATATAGTTAACACGAAGTTCGTACTTTTACCAAGTGTTTTCTCGCTACAAATCCGTTTTTTGGGTCCCTGTCAAATAGCCAAGGTTGTATGGTCCTTGCGTTTACTTACAGAACTATTTTTCTATTACAGTCTACTGTAAGACCAAACTTCAGGTTTCCCAACAATGGCTGATGGAACATGATTATTTTTACTAAAATATTGCGCAGGAGAAAGTAGGACAGCAGAGATCTAGTGATCAACACAGTGGTGTGGAAAAGCAAGCGTTTTCAATGGCATCCCCAATGTCAATGACGGTACGCGCACTGGGAAAA